GGGGGGGGGGGGGGGGGGGGGGGGAAGAGGGAGGGGGCTGTAAAACTTGCCCCTTGTGTTTTTAATTCAATAATAAAGTACCACGACTATTCAACAGCAAAGTAACCTTCCCCTGCCATAACAATCCCAATAGCATTTTCTGCCTTTCTTGCTGTGAATTCCAGTCAGGGTCAAGGGGAGATTTATCTGAGTGCACATTCCTTTCCCCGGAACACAAGGAGCAGAAACTACTGACTTCTTAGGAGCAGGAGCAGGCCCTCTGGTTTGCCCCTAGTGCCCTCTCTTGATAAAGGAAGATTAAATTATGAGCAGCCTCAGCCTTACCCTGATAACCAAATGGATTGGGGGTGGGAATGAATCAACCTACAGGTAGACACACACACCAGTCAGTGGGGAGAGTTGGCAGGAAAAGCTGGACCTTCCTGGAGCCTGGTCATTTTTGTAGTCAGCCCCCCACCCCACCCCAATTGTACTGACAAAATTGAGAGCAAGTTTAGTGCACCAAAACCCCTCCTGCAGCACAAACACCCAAACCTGGCACCTGGATCCAGAGTGCGCCACCCAGTTTTTGATGCCAACAACCTCCCAATTTCTAACAGCTGAAAAGAGAGCAAGCGTAGATGCTCCTGTTGCAGCAAGAAAATCAGGACCATGCTCCCCTCAGCATAACATTGATTGACCTCCCCTTCCCCCTTCCCCGTTTGACGCTTGGCTCCCGGGGGTAGGAGCGGGGTCAGTGATTGTCCATTGCTAAGGAAATGAGCTGACTTGGCCGGCTGCCGCTGGGCTGGCAGCACTGTTCAGTGTTTGTCTTTTGGGCGTGCTCGGAGCAGAGCGACATAGTTCTCTAGTGCGATGACCCAGTCGGGGGGGGGGTGTACTACGACCCGGAGCCCCCGCAGTTACCCAGCGCCATCAGGCACGTGGGGGGCGCGGGGACGGGGTCCGAGCAGGACGGAGACCAGGAGTGTGAACCAAGGGCGAGTCTCTGGGTGCCCCCCGCACTCACCTTCTTAGCTCCATCCCGGCGCGGGGCGCTGCTCGGGCAGCCTCGGGGACTCGGCGGGAGGCGCAGGCACTGGTCCCTCGGCGAGTGGCAGACGGAGAAGCGGTGAAACAGCTGCTGAGCCGTGCCTGGGCTGAGCCAGCTCCTCCCCCCTACGTCGTCCAAACCGGGGATTTCCGCGGCTGGTCCCTTCTCCCTTCCCACGCGGCTGGGGGCAGGAGAGTGACCGCGGGCGGGCCCCCTTCCTCTGCTGCCACCTGCAGCTCCCCGGCCAAGGCGACGAGAGCGGGATCGCGTCCTTTGACGAGCAGAGCAGAGCCGAGCCCAGGCCAGGCGCGCTCCGCCACCCCGCGCCCGGGCGAGCAGCTCAGCCCGCGAGACCCCTGGCCCGAGCGCTTCGCTCTGCAGCCCGGGCAAAGGGGTGTCCCGTCAATGCCCTGAGACGAGTCGCTAGGACGATAGATAATGCACCGGCCCTACCATCTCCACGGGGTTGGTAACCCAGTAGGGCCAACACCGTGCATTATAAACTCGCCACCCTTTTGTCCTGGGGAGCTTCTCCTAGGCTTCCAGCACCATTCAACTCACTGCACCCACATTGCTGGGCGCAGGACTTAGCTACACCCGAGGTGCTGAATAAAAACAGTTGATGAATGGAAACTACTCACATGCTCCCTGGTAAGTTTCAGCTACACCACACAAGTGAGTCTTCTCCTTTTTAAAAGGCAACCTGTTGATTACACAATAGCGAACAGTCACACTGTTGCTGAGTCTGGAACTATAGGGCAGCGGTTTTCAAACTTTTTTTCTGGTGACCCAGTTGAAGAAAATTGTTGATGCCTGTGACCCAGGGGAGCTGGGGATGAGGGGTTTGGAGTGTGGGAGGGGCTCAGGGCTTGGGCAGGGGGTTGGGGTGCAGGGTGGGGCAAGGAATGAGGAGTTCAATGTGGGAGGGGGATCTGGGCTGGGGCAGGGATGCGGAAGGGGGTCAGGCTCTAGGATGGGGCCAGGGATGGGTCTGGGGTGCAGGAAGGGGCTCCGGGGTTGGGGGGACTCAGCACAGGGGATTGGGGCATGGGCTTACCTTGGGGCAGCTCCCGGTTAGTGGCGCAGCGGGGGTGCTAAGGCAGGCTTCCTGCCTGTCCTGGCACCGCAGACCGCACTGCGCCCCAGAAGCAGCCAGCAGCAGTTCTGGCTCTGCGGGGCTCTCACCCGCAGGCACTGCCCCTCCCACAGCTCCCATTGGCCAGTTCCTGGCCAACAAGAGTGCAGAGCTGGTGCTTGGGCCCCCAGGAGCCAGACCTGCTGCTGGCCACTTCCGGGGCACAGCACGGTATTGGAACAAGTAGGGACTAGCCTGCCTTAGCCAGGCAGCACCACTGATGGGACTTTTAAAGGCCCAGTTGGTGGTGCTGACAAGAGCCGCCACGACCCAGTGCCTTACATTCCCAACCCAGTACTGGGTCATGACCCACAGTTTGAAAACCACTGCTATAGGGGGAGGCATGAGTAGTTAATCCTTAGCTCTTAAACTTTCCATCAGCAGATCTCAATGTGTTTCACAATTTTTAATGCATCAGCTTCACAACACACCCTGTGCAATAGGGAAGTATTATCATCTCCATGTTACTAGGGTGACCAGACAGTAAGTGTGAAAAATCAGGACAGGGGTGGGGGTTAATAGGGGCCTATATAAGAAAAAGACCCAAAAATCGGAACTGTCCCTATAAAATCGGGACAGCTGGTCACCCTACCATTTTACAGATGGGGAACTGAGGCTAAGTGGCTTGCTCAGTGTTACACAGAAAGCCTGTAGCACAGCAGGGAATTGAGCCTCTGTTTCCCAAGTCCTAGGCTACCGCTCTAACCTGGGGACCATAGGATGATGCGTCCTAAAATAACACGTAAGATGCATTATCCTTTGAGAAATATCAGTATAATCCCTCTTTCTCACATAGGTCTTGTCTGCATGGTGCTGTAGTGCAAACTAGAGAGATGTGATTTCTAGAGCACTCTTATGTGCTGTGCTCTAACTGCCCTGTGTAGACCCTGTTGGCACAAACTGACAGGTACCTAGTTCGTGTTGATATAGGCTCTTTTCAAAAAGGACTACATTCATGTGCTTTAGTTACTTTTTAGTTCATGCCAGCAGGACCTACAAGGGACAGTTAGAGAAGAACACAGGAGTGTTCTACAATTCACATCTTTCTAGTTTGCCCTGCAAAGCCATGTAGACAAGGCCTTAGATACAGATAGAAGCCCCATTGGCTGCAGGTTGCTGTGATTGGAAAGTCCTAGATCAATTACTTTGGTTTCTCAACATTTCTTAATTTTTTTTTAAACTCAACTATAAATTGCTCACCGAATAGATTAGGTGACATTGTTACTTATATAGAGCAACAACTATTGAATGGATGGAATGAAGTACCTGTCCCATCTTTGAGAGGTCAGTCTCATCTAGAGTTAACACTACAGGGAAAGGAGTTGCACTAATAGAGATCATATCCTTTGGATAGATGTTAAACTAACTTGTATTTGGCAAGTCAATAGTCATAAGAACATAAGAACGGCCATATTAGGTCAGACCAATGGTCCATCTAGCCCAGTATCCTGACTTCTGACAGTGGCCAATGCCAGGTGCTTCAGAGGGAATGAACAGAACAGGTAATCATCAAGTGATCTATAGATCCATAGTCACCGTCATAGTGTTTAAAGTTAGGCACCTAAATCCCTAGTTACTCCCTCAGAAATGGCCTGATTTTCAGAGGTGCTGAGCACCAACAATTCCCATTGACTTTGAGTGCTCAGCACCATAGAAAATCAGTTCACTTTTATTTATGTGCCCTAATATGGATTTAGGTGCCTAATTTTAGGCACTTGTTTGAAAAATTGATCACAGCACCAGGGGTGCTGTGAGCCATTGAACCAAACTTTGTAAACCCTGTATATAATGGAATCCACTTCAAACCAGGGGATGCGGGAGCACACTCCCCTCCCCTAGTTCCAGCACCTATGCACAGCACAGAATGTAGAACACAAAGTACATGCATGATGCAGAACTATCAGATAGGACCCTTACCATCTTTTTGTTAATATGCTGTGATGTTTTTCTGGATGTAGGAGAATAGTCTGTAGTCTTAATGGAACATAGATTCATGGACTGAAATATCCTGTGTCTTGATTTGGTATTTCCAAGAACAAAAGAAATATGTTTAAAGGAGAACAAAGTTGAAATGGATATAAATTGGTGTGACCGGGGTCCCAGTGCGGGCCAGCTGAGGGTGAACTGCAAAGAATGGGGCAGACAAACCCCAAAGCTGGTAGATAATTCAATACTTAGATTTACCAAGCCAGCATAAAACAGCTTCATTACCTCACTGGTTGTCCAGAAACCAACAACACAGTTCCCTCAAAGCAACCCAGCCTCAAGCCTCCATCCAGATACCCAAGTCAAAAATGATGAAGATTTCTGAAAATCTGTTTAATCATATAAAAGAAAAGGTTCTACCAATCCCAAAGGATTGGACACATTACCTCCCAGGTTATTGAATATTCCAGATCTTACCTGGAATACAGCCATTTCTTATTAACTAAACAAAAATTTATTAAAAAAGAAAAAAGAGAGTATGGGTAAAAGATCAATATACATGCAGATATGAGTTCAATTCCTGAGGTTCAGGTACATAGCAGAGATGGTGAGCTTTGTAGTTGCAAAGAGTTCTTTCAGAATTTAATTCTTATGTTATAGTCCAATGTCCAATATCATATTCAGGGTGGACCAGTCAACATTGGGATCCCAATCTTGTGGCTTAAGCTTCCCCTGCATTTGAAACATCAAGCAGATCTGAGATAAACAGGATCAGGTCCCAAGGATCTTTTTATACAGTGTTCTAGCATCCACTTGACCATATAGTCCTGGGTACACAATACGCTTTTGATGTAACCTTCTGTTTTCTGAATACCACCAGTAATTAGTTACACAAATTAACATAGGGCAATTTATTCATTAGGCAGTCTATCACAGACTTCAAAGGGACATATAGACAATGACATTATTTCACCCAAGATTCATCTAAATGTTAATATTCCCTTTTGATCTCTGAATTAGTATCTATAGTGACAGACAGGAACATGGGTAGCATCTAAGATACATACAATTCCTATCACTTCTAACAATATAGGTTTGCATTTCAAAGTTCTAGCCTATTTAGCTTGAATGGCCCTAATTACCATTTCTAACATGTCTTTAAAGGTCAGCTTTGGGTTAGTTGGCCTGCAAGCTGTTTAACCCTTTCCGGCCATGAGTTATATTTTGTATAAGATTTGCTGCAATTATACAGCAATGGTAGCAATAATGATTTGCATGGTTATATTTTAATTAGACAATGTCACAACTGGCCATCCAGGGGCAGCGCTGGGGGTGTGTGTGCTTGTGGGGGCTATAGCCACCCCAAAAGTTTGCCTTAGCTACCCTGTAGCAGCTGCCACTTTCCAACCACCCAGCTCTGAAGGCTGAGCAGAGAGAATGGATGCTGCTGGCTGGGGGCCCAGATCCAGTGGCAGCAGAGAAGTAAGCCAGGGAGGGCAAGAGCAGCTTTGGTCTATGTCCCCACCTACCAGGGCATTCTATCCAGGGCAGGTGGAGGGTCAGGGCTCCCCACAGCTGCCCAGACTGACCCGCTCCAGCCCAGGGTCCTGGGCCCCACCCCACAGTCTCTACTCCCTGGGAGCTCTGTCAGCCCCAGAGCCAGCTCCCCCTGTCCAGGCAGCTCCTACCGGCTGCAGGCAGCCTGGCTCCGGTTTCCAGCCTCTGACCTGGCTATGGGGTGGAGTCATGGTGGGAGCAGGGCTGGTGAGAGGGGTGGGGTCTCATGCTGAAGGGGGCATAGCCCCCCAATTTTCTGTCTCGCCCACCTCAGCCCCCCCCCCCATCCCCCACACACACCTGGAAGAAGTTGGCATCACTCCTGTGGCCATTAACAAGTTTAGGCTTCAGAGTAGCAGCCGTGTTAGTCTGTATCCGCAAAAAGAACAGGAGTACTTGTGGCACCTTAGAGACTAACAAATTTATTAGAGCATAAGCTTTCGTGGACTACAGCCCACTTCTTCGGATGCATACAGAGTGGAATAAATATTGAGGAGATATATATACACACACATACAGAGAGCATAAACAGGTGGGAGTTGTCTTACCAAGTCTGAGAGGCCAATTAAGTAAGAGAAAAAAAACTTTTGAAGTGATAATCAAGCTAGCCCAGTACAGACAGCTTGATAAGAAGTGTGAGAATACTTACAAGGGGAGATAGATTCAATGTTTGTAATGGCTCAGCCATTCCCAGTCCTTATTCAATCCTGAGTTGATTGTGTCTAGTTTGCACATCAATTCCAGCTAAGGACTTTGTACCTGGCCTGATCCCATGC